GTATGTACGAATATGTTTTACTACATTTTTATTGCATGTCAAAATTCACTTAGCATTCACTGCCTAATTGAGGGTGAGCTGAATTAATGAGCATTTAAGAATTCTAATTAGATGTCTCACCCTGGCGCTTTCACTTGTTAGTCCTGAACTTTTTGAATAATTATAAAATTCACACAGCCTAATGCAAATTGCCTAATGCGAATGCCTGGCTGGACCAACCCAAAAATGACGACAATGCAAACAAGCGTATTTGTTATTGTAAAAATGTTGTTTTGAAGGAAAACTATTTCGTATATTTATTTTGCACCGGCTGGGCGCCACACTTTGTTACGTTGACGGCAGGCAGGAGGACCCAATTGACGCCAAAGCGGAGGGAGTGTGAAGTACATACATACATATGTAAGTATGTATATGTATATGTATTTGTTAGTTATTTGCGACGCATTGCAAAGTCAGTCACGTGAGGTAGTGTTGTAAATAAGCGAGCGCACAGGACTCACATCCTGCAAAACATATTTACAGTTATACATACATACCGACATACATATGTACATCTGCATATGAAAGCAACACGTAATTTTTATGTTCGTTTAATCGGTGCTAGCAGGAAATGGCAGCGACGAAAGAGTCCAAAAATAAGGAAAGAAAATGGAAACAAAGGATATTTTTTTCGCTATACAAAAAGTAGTCCCGGCTTGAGTTGTGTGAGCAATGTAAACAAACCAAAAGCTCTTTTCGAGGAGTTAGCTTTTTCTCTATCTCTCTCTCTCTCTCTCACGTGCTCCTTTTTCGCTATCTATGTATATGGAAAGTCCTCGGTGAGCATCCTTTGTCGCTCGCTCTTTATTTCAGATATTTTTGTTTTTACTTTCTAGTCATTCCTGTTCATTGCTTCCAGTCTCCGAAATTTACTGCCCAAGCGGCTTATCAGCAACGTTGCGGCAAAAGGATGTGATGAAATTTGCTTTTGCACAGTTCGCGTTTGTTTCTTGGAGCTATTGGTCGCAATTAGCGGAAGATTTCGAAATCTGTGCATAACGGTAAACACCCAATTGTCAAGTGTCCAGTGGGAGTTAAAGAATTTTTGTGGAAGGCGAAGGATGCTGAAAATGTTTGAATGATTTATAAAAGTCTATCATCGCCGGAGTTATTAAATACGAAGTGCCAAATATACTACATACATACATATGTACATACATATTTATATGATTAATTGAAGCTTGACTTCCATGCCAAATGCAACACTGTCTTGCAATAAAAAAAATTGTGTGCCAAAACAACTCAGTGTGCGTTTTCAAGTCCGACGGTATAACAAAGCTAGAGCAAATGCAAATGCAAATGCAAATGTGAAAGCAGAGAAAATAAATATTTTAACCTGGCGTTAGTTTGAGTGAAGTGTTTTTGAAGCAATTAGAAAAGTTGGGAAAGTGTTAAGTATCTGACAAATAATTTGCATTGCATTCCAAATGTCAAGTCAGCTTGAAAGCAAGAAAAGTGTTTGAGTGCAAATAAATGTGGAATCGTAAGTGAATAGCCTTGAAAATCGAAGGTCTTTGAAATTTGTGTATCCAAATAAATAGATGAACGCTTATTCGCTTTCACAAGGACCTGGATTACCTTGTAAAGCCACTACCGAAGGATTATCGCACACTTCAGATCAGGTAATGTATTGCGAAAAGTATAAAAAATTTACAACAATTTAATATGTTTACTGTGACTACCGAAATCGAATAAAATTACTACTTTAATAACTACAATATACAGTTTCAAAGCGCAAGCCTTTCCTCTGACACTACTAGTACACTAGTAGTATTATCAAAAAAAAAACAAATTGTTGTCATCATCATATCTTTTCATAATAATTTGTACCTCCTCTAATACACTCACACACTTCGCCAACTAAGTATTTAGCCCAAATAATGCAGCAGATTGAAATCCACAAGCGTAACAGTTTTGTGATGACGACGCCTTCGGGAAATCTTAGTGAAGTGGAAATAATGGTGATGTTTCTCCCTCCTCCCCTTTCATGCCTGTTATACCGTTGCTTTTGTATTTCTCCCGCTGGTTCTTTTGTTTTATTTGAAAGAAAATGGACTGCGTGCCTTTATATGTTTCCTTCCATTCTGTATTTCCCTTTATCCTTTCCACTGTTTCCATTTTGTGTCTGAGCTGCAATGAACCATGGAGTGTCCAAGTGCTGTGCAATATTCGCCAACAATTTATGCTTATTGGTTCTAAGTGGCAAAAACTGCTTACAAACAAAAAATTGATGCTGTCGCAAGCGAAATTGCTTTGATATTCGTTTTTTTTTCCAATCTCTTGTGCTGAGCTGACTTCTTTCGTTTATACTTTCATTGGCATGCAATCATAAGAGTTTTATTTCTACTCCGGGTATTGCGCTCTCACGAAAAGGACCTTAATGCCGAGTTGATTATAACCCATGTATGACCTTGCAAGCATGGAAATGCGTGTGATATGTTTGGCTGTGTACATGTGTATGTATGAAGTTTTTATATCGTAATTGACCGTGTGCGTACTATTTTTATTTCTTTCATCTCATTTACCTATCACTAAATATCAGCAAGAAAATATCAAATGTCATTTCTCGAAAAAGCTATCCAAGCATAAAGATTTGCTTTTAGATAGACATTGCATGCTATTCCTACCTTCTAGACTAGGTTGTGCTCTATCGACGAAAGTTTAAAGAGCTTTCTAGTCTTAGTTGGTTTAATATTCATCCATTAGTCTCCTTAAATTAATTCTATATGCTTTCAAGACACCCAAGTTCTGATTAAAAAAAAAAAATGTTTTTCTTCATCTGTCACATATTTTGGTGGTTAAATCTATATATTAGCAAAAAATTCGTCAACTGCCAAACCACGGAGGCATTTTCGAGAAGAACCTCAAGGCAGCAATTGATGAAAATTATTTTTACTAAACTTGCCTATTAACAGATGTGTGTCGACAAGAGCAGTGTTGCATTGGAAGTTGGTACATAGGGTATATAAAAATCCACTGACTTATCAAACCGACCTCGAACTCAAACTTATATTTACTTATAGAACACATTTTTGTTAAATAAAAAATATCAATTTTTTTTTTTGCGAAATCTAAAAGCCAACTCGAAATAAACAGAAAAAGCTTATAAAAACCATATGTATCGCTGCGAAAGCCGCTGTAGTCGAATGGTAAGATGAGAGACTACCACCCAATTGAACCCGGGTTCGGTTGCTCCAATTAATATAAAAGGGTTTGTCTTCTGGCGACCACCGTTAGAGAGATAATGACAGTTCTTAAAAATCAGAGCTGCTCAGAAAAATTAGAACTGAAGCAGAAATATTTATATGAACCTGATTTTTGGGGTAATATGGATATGTGCTTATATTTTTCATTCAGTTTGCACCAATCAAATAAAGTGCAGAATAATAATTTTAACCAGGTAGCCTAATAAAAAAGAAGGTGTGAATAGCTACTTATTATATTTTGGCATTGCGCATGAAGAGTTGAATCTAAAGGCTGGTTTTTACTATGTGAAATTCAGTGGCATTTGTCGTCAAAAAGAAAACACATTGTCAAATGAGATCAAAAAGCGGTCGATTGATTTGGATCAGGATAGGTCTTTAGTCGTGTACACACGCTTCGAAATCGGCTAACTGTCAGTTTTTGGCCCATAATGATATTATGGCAAAGGTATGGATAAAGGAGATAAAGTTGTGTCAAAATATGTCGGCAAATTTTGGTGTCAAAATATGACATAGTTAAAACCAGTCTTATGGCATGGGAGATAATATTCTGTTATATCGGCGCAAAGGTGAAAATACATAGTATGTACTCTTATATGACTAGTCAACCCATCCATCAATACCATCTATCTCCACATCAATATGGAGAATCCTGCTTTGTAGCTTGTAAAAATAAGAAACATAAAATTATTCTCTGCTATAAGTGGGCAAATTTATTATTAAAAAAATGTTTATTACTTTGTCCGGAACAATCATAAAAAATATTTTAAAATGCTCACGTAAGATATCCTAATGAACTGGTTGCTGGCTGTTCCGATGGATGTTCCACGGTTTGAAGAGTTTTCAGGTTAACAGCAACTACTTACTATGCCTAACTGCGCATACTATAGTTCCGTATACGGAATAGCGAATTGGGGCTGCGAAATCGACATCGATTTTTGCAAGTAATTTATGTATCGAGGCAAAATCTAGAGCTCAGAACATCGAGTGGTTGTGCGTTGATGAATGCACTGAGCAAACAAGTCTTTTCTTTGGCGCCACTAAATTAAACCTGAGGAAAAATACCAAAAAAATGTGGATTACGATAGTGTGCACATTTTTAGTTCCACCAGATTCCTTTGTCGTGGCGTTTTCAGGAGCATTTATGTAATTTTCCGTTAGTAGACGCTGAATGATTCATCGTAAAATTAAGAGCGTTGATTACGCACTACCTTAAACATCCTTTTCAAATGCGTCTTTTCTCTTTTGCAAAATACGATGGGCTGTTTTAGTAGCAATTGGCCGGCTCACAGTGGTCTGTAATGAAAAAGTGGGGTACAAAATAGCGTAGAGCTTCGAATTCTTAACCGATTTGATAAGCGGTGGTAAACATTTCCTTCCACATACATATATACAATGTGCTCGAAATGTCAACAAAAAAAAAAAAACTATTTAAAATCGATGAGATTTCTTAGCTTCTTGTAACTTGCACTAAGACGTAATACGCTAAAAAACTCCATAGCTAAAATTATTGTAAATATAAAAAATTTTAAATTTTGGTGAAAATTTATTTATAACGTTTGAAATTTTTTGTACATTTTTTTCGTTTTGGGGTAACCCTATAATTGGGGGCACAATAGACCTACCCTAACCCTATAATTGTAATTATAAAAATAAGAATTTTTTATTTGATTACCGTTTAAAAATTTTCGTATTTAAATCAAGTGAAAAATTAATATTTTCATTATACATACACTACACATAATGGAATGATGACACTGTTTGTATATGCACTTCTGAAGGGAGGTCTGCGGCGATACATTTGCATTTGTATCGTCGAATTAAAAATTGAAAAAAAAGGTGTTGCTTATATATTATTCGATAAAAAGGCTTTTTTCTATTAATGGATACCGTTAGGCTGACGAGTTTCTGTTTAAAAAAAAAAAACTTTTCATAAAACTATATTCAGAATTGGCGTTGAAGTACAGGTGTGTCCCTTTGATACGAGTATAGATATTGCGATTTTTAAAATGGTGGTATCGTAGTTATGTGAATATGCATACATATATACACACATTGGTGTGCTTTTACTTATACAACGTCTTTCAATGCAATTTTACCCAACTAAATAAATGTTCCCAGTTGAACTGTTCACCTATTTTTTTTAAATACATATTTATATTCAAATTGAATTTTCTGTTGCTAATTTCGTTTTTTACCTCTCACACTAACTATTCAACAATTCTATTCCTTTCTTGTTCACAGACGCGTGTACCACCAAGCAGCACTCGCAATACGCCATAGCATCTTCTCACCGGAGTCCAATACTTAAGACCGTTGCATAGAGAACGGCGACTTTATCGACAAACGCAGCGCCGTGTTTTATAAACTGGCGAGAAAGTTTGCGCAGCACGTACAAAAGGACGGACGCACGCATTCGCCGCATACGCCACAACACCATTGCCGAAAACGAAACGAGTGTATAACGAACTTGGAAACTTTTCTAGAATACTCAGTGCATCAGTCGTTTTTTTTTTTTTTTTTTTTTTCATTTTCGTTCGCCTGACTCAAAAAACATTAACAAAATAGAGGGTAATAGAAAAAAAAGTAACGCCCTGCACTGCAGTTGTTGCGCTTGTTGTTAGTGGTGGTGCCATTGTCGCGCGCATTACAGCGTTGAAAACTTTATCTCAACTGGCACAGCCATCATTGGGGTGGAGGAGTTGCGCAACGTACGCGCACCGCGCCAACGACCTTGCAACACTAATGTGGCGCGCACTTTGTGTGGTTTTTTTTTGTAATTTCCTTCTAACAGAAATGGGGGCAACAATGTACGCGGCACTTCAAGCAAGTTGTGTGAGTTCATAAACTGTAGGCGAAACGAGTAGGGTGGAACTGCAAAAGAATAAATTAAGGCGAGAGCAGCTGGGCAACAAAAAGCAAGTTTAAGTGGTTTTTCAAAGCAAAATGGCAAGGTGGTTATTGGTAAACAGTAGTATATTAGCCGGTATATGGCTGTGTGCAACGTTGCTGTTGCAGGCAAGGCATGGCGACACAGCGCCCACTCACCATTTGACGGTCAGCGTTGAGGGCAATACACCCACGCTGATAGTAACGTCGGCGGAAATTGGCATCACGCCAAGAACACTGCACGCCAGCACGAGCACCACGGCGGCTGCAAAAGCCACGACTGCCAAGGTTGAGGCGGCTGCAAGCGCAATCACAGAGCGCCGTAACATTGATGAGCTCGGCAGCAAAGGAAATGTGCCGAAACTGAAAGGCAAATCATATAAATTACATTATGGAAAAAAATGGCAACACGCGGCCAAGGAGAGGGAGAAAGGTAAGGTGAGGGTATTGAAGACACAGGTCGCATCCATGAGTTCAACGGAAGCGCCTATTGCAGGCTCCACAACAGTTTTGCCTAGTCGATTGGTCGAAACTATAACCACAAGCACCGATATACCTATACTTACCACACACACTACAAACCCGACTACAGTTGAGAGTGAACAGCACTTTGAGCAAAGTACAGAAGTCGCGACTACAGTCACAGCAAATATCGCAAAGTCAAGCGAGGGCGCATTGCCCTCAGAAAGCGTTATCGTCACCAACGCGCCATCGCTAGTTGGCAGCCATCGCAACGCACTCAACGGCGACGACAACGACAACGACGACGAGGTAAGCACGCCGGGCGCCATTGTGTCTGCGGCAACTGGCAACTTGCCACGATCCACGGAGGCGGCAACAGCAGTCACCTTGGCACCTACGAATGCTGCAGTCAGCAGGATTACAGCGGGAAGCCCCATTGAGAAGTCAGGTGCGGCTGCGGAGCTAAAAAGCTTCCGGGGTAGTGGCACGGAAGTAGACGACAAGAGAGCCGCAGAAGAACTGACTGCAACGACCGCATTTATGGAGTTACATGACACCACAGCAGCGTCAACTACTAAAGAAATATCCATACCGGCACCAAGAACAGCAGCACCAAATACAACAGCAGCAACTACATCAGCATTGGCAGTTACGACAAAGCCAATCTCGGCGACTACAGCAAATGCGCCGATGATTGCAATCCAAATTGAAACGTTGCCAAAGGCGATAACGGCAACGATAAAAGCAACAGAACAAATAACTACAGCAGCCGCAACAGCTACAAGCGCACTTCCTACCAACAACACCAAGCATCAAACAGCAAAAACAATGCCAACAACAACCATCGAATTTCCGATAGCTGATGAAGTTGCTGGTGTCAGTCAAAGTACTTCGACAGTACCAACATCATACAACGGTAATTCTGTCACCGTCAGCGCAATAATGGAAATGAGCTCCGTCATCGTTGGCGATAATCTGCCTCAAACGCCCATTCCACCAGCGCGCAACACAACCGCTGCAATAAGGCTACCCAAGATGAACGTCAGCACGGCGACAACCAGTGTGGACATGCTGCAAGAGGCAACTACTTCAATTTCAACTACGACTAAAAAACCTGAACACCCATCTGTTGGTACAACAAAAAGTGTGCAGACAATCCAAACAACAGCGGAGGTAAGCACGGACAGCGGCATCATTTTTATTGACGATGTGTCTGATAACCGCGAAGCCAAGCGAAACGAGTCGGAGGGAGAGCTACAAAACGATGAAGCCAATATTGGCAGACACGGCGACGTAAAGGATACCAGCAGAGGCACAGACGCAAACAATTCAGGTACGAGCGATAGTGATGGCATCATAAAACTTATTGACTTGGAAAAACATGATTTAAAATCGATTTCGAAGGCGAAAAAATTACGCAACGGCAGCAAGAGTGGCGATGTTGACGCCGCGGACGATGATGATGGCCATGATGGTGTCAAGAAAACAAGAAAGAAGCAACTAACCGATAAACATTACTTGCTCGTGCCTGATCTCAGTGTGAGCGAGGAATTTCATGTTGAAAATATGACCGCCCCCGGGACAATAAAAACATCGCTTGTTGACACTGTGGATGATTTAAAGAGCGCAAACAAAGCCACCGAAAATGGCAATAACGGCGGAAGTGATGTGTTGACGAAAACAATGCCGAACATTGGCGTGAAAAATATTTCCACTAGCAGCACACCAGCACCAACGTCTGCATCCGCACCACACCAAAGAGCAAATATAGAAAACTCTACGGCAGCCACACCCACGCTAAGACCAGTACACAATGGCTATTTGGGTCCCATTCTCATGGAGGAGATGCGGTTTACGGTTAAGCACGCAAACCTGAAACCACAACAACACCACGAGTCCACCATAGAATCACAACTGCGTGACGGCCGCATTGTGGAGATCCTTGCGCCCACCGCACTGGTGGAGCAAACCACTGCTGCGCCGGCGATGACATTGAATAGAGCGGTGAAAAGCGATCCAATAAGCGCAACAACTTCAACGCCAGCGCCTGTTTCAACCACTTTTGTACACGTACCTTCGGAAAAGAGTACACCCATGTTTTCTACGACTGTGTTCCAGGTTCCAGAGACATTGATCAGCACCACACGTCTGCCGTTGAGCACGAAAACCACGCACGGAGGTGAGGAAAAAACATCAAAACTATCGCAACATAAGCAGAAGCAGCAACAGTCGCGAGCATTTTCCAGCACTCCCAAGAGGTTGGGCGATGAGCGAACGGAGTCAAAAATATCTGACATTCAAGTGGAAGTCTACGATTCCACAGTGGACTCCATTGTATCATCCACAAATTTCAAGGATAGCGATGGCTTTTACGCCCTACCACTGGAAGCTGAGGCGGATGCACACGGCGGCACAACTAAGCCACCAGCTGCGCCGCAGGAACGCTTCACCCAATATGTAGTGGACAGGGCCGACTATGCCACACAGGAGTCAAGTGTGGCCCCACATTTAAGTGTGGCCTTCGGTAAGCCCGAACCAGCAGCAATCGAGATACATATTAACGTATCTGAGGGCATCGGCAATGAGAGCGAAGATTTAGAATTTTCATATCGGCAGCCAGATTACACAGGCAGCAGCTCAAGAACCAACCCCATAGATGAACTGATGGCCAAAACCGCTAAAGCTATTTCGATGAAGCCACTTTCTTCGGGCAGCAATGATTCCGCTGCTCGAGAAAACGTTCAACGTGGCGATGAGATTTTAGTTGTAGAGATAATCGATACCGGCGACAATAGCACTGAGGGTGCGGTTAGTGCTGAAAATGCCAATCCGATATTTACATTTCGCTCAGATTCCGATTCGGATATTGAGCTGAAGGATATCAAATACTTTCCACCTGAGGTCAAAGTGAAACCGCCACAAATGTCCGACGAACTCTTCTTGGCAGACCTAAAGCGAGAGAATGCGCTGCCAAAACCACCTTTGCCCCCACCTCCTCCGCCGCGTAAGCCGACCATAGATCGCGACTCGGACACAATTTTTTACATTTCCAACACCGAAGTAAAGGTGGGCGAGTCTCTACCCACCGCAAATACAGATTATGAGCAACAACAACAGCAGCAACAGTTGCGGAAAACCAGATTGGAAAATCAATTCTTTCCGGCAAACTACTTAGCCAGCACACGTCCGAACGCTGCCAGCATGGACGAACGGTTGTCGCTGTCACCGCAACAGCATCACTATGAAGAAGACATAATTCTTTCGCCACTACGCAACACCGCCGATTCACTTAAGATATTTCGCAATCAAGGCGATGAGGCACCCCCTTTAGACGTTACCTACATTGCCGAGTCGGTGGTGGAAGTGGAGCAGTCCTCAGGTGCTGGTCCCACAACCACATTTTCAGCGGCTGCAGCGCCCTCACTGACGCCAGACGTCATCATACAGCCAGCCATATTGCCAGAAATGTCGATTGGTGTGCCAGTGATAGGTGAGCTGCCGCCGCAAATTGAACTCAAGGAAATCGATTTCATGCCCGACGAAGCAAACCAGCCGCACTCAGGCATGTACGAGAACAACATGCTGGAGGAAAATGGCAATGGAAATGGCAATGACGTCGACAGACTCGTGGAGTCTTCCGTACAGTATGGTGGCGATCTGATAGACGAGAGCGCCGGCGGTGGAGGCTTTGATGGAGTCGAGGGTTCTTATCCGTTTGGCAATCCAGCAGCACTGCACAACAACAAAGCCCACCATGCAGCCGACTATGCGCACTTCACGGTGAACCATGGCATAAGTAATCTGCGAAAGGATGAGCTGAGCGCTGATGTGGCGGGCTCCGGTGAGATGCTGGCGGCGGGCCAAACAGCCGCAGCGATGCTAAATGCCATGGAGAACGGTGAACTAAAGGAGTTACTAGCTCGTAGCGGCAACGATACGTACCCTTTGTCGATGCTTGCGAATGCCAGTTACGCTGGAGCATCCACTGAGCGTATGAGCAATGCCACCGCCTACTCGGTGTTGGAGGAACCGAATGCAATCGAGTTGGGTAAGTTGAAAACAAGCATGAATACCTATGTACAAATATGTACATAAATAAAAACATACATACATATGTAAATATTAATTTCTTTGAAGACCCCTCTTAGTTGACTTTAAAAATTAATCTCTCTTTGCAGTATTTAAAAATCATAATACGCTGGTACTTGGAGTTTTCATTGTACTGCTGCCGGTTGTACTGACTGTCTCACTGACTTGTGCCATGTGGTAAGCATAGAGCGAAAAGCCTTTTGTTATATTCTATTCATTATTTCAGTATATTTGAGATGAAGTACAGCGAGTTATACAAAGTGGTTGCATTTTTTCTAAGTCAAATGTTCTAAGAAACAGACTAATTTGGTGGGGTTCCAGAGTAAACATGCATGTGTATGTATATGTATACAAATGTGTAGGACAGAAGGATTTTTAGAATGTAAAATGGCAATATAACGTATGCGGAATGAAATGTGGACAATTTCTATGCAGACTTTAAAAAAAAAATCCGATAAACACAAGAGTCAAACTAAATTAATTTACTGCACAATTTTGCCTCTTGCTCTAACTAGCGGTGAAGTTCGGGTAGTCAAAAGGTCGGGAAGGTGAAAGCCCACAAAGCTATGGGATTCGGCGGAATATGCATGCTCATACTGAAACATTTGGGTCCTGCAGGAGTTATTTATTTTACCAAGGTCCTCACCCTGCCAATGGCCACTCTCGTCACTCCAGACATCTTTCAAATGGGGAGAGTGGTCCTACTGCTCAAAAGGGAAAACCAGCCAACAAAGCAGAGTCTTATGGTCCGACAACCCTCCTTCTCCCGGTACCGAACACACTAGAGGCCTCGCTACTCCCCCATTATACGAACCACCTCATCCCTGCGAAGCATCAGTATGGTTTACGTAAAGTGCACCATCCCTGCAAGAGAACATTTCTAGTAGCGTTAGATATGTCAAAGGCGTTTGACACCGTCAGTCACTCCACGCCACTAGAAGACATAGAGGTTTTCTCTCTCCCACAAAGACTCAAACGGTGGTCAGCGAATCATCTGAGTGGTCGACACTCCCAGGAAATAAAACGGGGGGTTCCACAGGGTGGTGTCCTTTCTCCACTACTTTAATATTTCTAAGCTCCCTCAACCACCAGACGGAGTACCAATTGTCTCTTATGCTGCGAATGGAATTGATGACTTGTGCTCGAAAGTAAACGGTTACCTCTCCGAGCATTCTCACTTCTTCACTGCAAGGAGCCTAACTCTCCCCCCTACAAAATCCTCAGCTGCCCTCTTCACCACCTGGACGAAGGAGGTCAGATTGCAGCTGGGTATTCACGTCGATGACGAACCAAGTCCGATGGAAAGTGACCAGATGTCTTCTGATATCGTCACAACACCACTTGCATGACGAAGCGCAAATGTTCCCCTTTAAGTGGCACAACACAATGCTCTGCAACCAATACTTAGTAGGGAGCCACAGACGTGGACAGCCGAACAGACACTTGCTTACAGCGGAGCCCTCGCCAAGGCACATCAGAAGGCATCTATACGTACTTACGGGCGAATAGGTTCATAAAGAAAGCTCAGAACCGGACAGCATATCGACAGGCCTCAAGTTACTTAGACTCCAGAACTGACTTGGGCAAGTCCGAGCGTCGTTTGCCAAGGGAGACTCTGACCACATTAGCCCCACTTCGCTCTGGCCACTGCAGCAGGTTGAACTCGTACCAGTGCAAACTGGATACATATGTGCCCAATCAGTGCCCAGCATGCGGAGAGACACCCCACGACTCGAAACATCTCTTCGCATGCGCACTAAACCCCACTCAACTGACGCCTCTGTCCCCATAGACGGACCCTATAGAGGCTGCACGCTTCTTGGGTCTCATGCTAGTTGATCTTGACGACAACGATTCAGGCTCTTGGTGATCTGGGCGGGTTTGTTGTAGCCGCTACATTAAACGTGTTAAATTATACACAATTTTATACACTGAAGATAATGTATTTTGTAAGATAATTATGCCTCCATTTTCGACCAAAACACGTATTTGTCGAAAAATGTAACAACTCGTGAGATTTGCTCATAAAAATAGATGCATACAGTAAAACATTTTTTAATCCTTTAAAGCCTTAAAGCATTTGCAAGTATGTCGCCGCTGTCAATGGTAAAAATAGCCCCAAGCTTCAAACCCTTTTTCCACACTCCAAGATTGATTGCTTTCACTTTCCGGTCTGGGTATTTGGCGCCAGCTCTGTGCACCCTTTCCTTTACGCTTCGTGAGACCGTAACCAATTTGCAGCTGAGCCTTTGGCTAAGCATTGTTACACGTACATAGAAGTATATATGTACAAGTATATGTATGTGGATGATACGCCTGGTTGCTTGTCACAATGCTTCTGCGCCCACAGTCGCATGGCAACCGCGCCAACAGCAGTCAAGTTGTCTGCAACAAATCGCCGATAAGTGCTGAGCAATGTTTTTGATATTCAATCAGGCTGAAGCAAATTACACTTAAACTATTACTTTGACTGGCTGGAGTAGCAATTACTCGCACCTTTTCGCAGGTACGTGTGCTCCTCTTTGCCGTTTCTAAGGCAACTTAAATTGAATAGAGTCAAACAAAAAGGGGCTGGGTCAGCCGTCGAAGAGTATGAAGAATGGCTTGAGCTTTTTAAACTGCTTCAATAGAACTTGTTTACCCACTTTTCTTATCGTTAGTTAAATTCAAATCTTCAGGAGTTCGATAAGGTGCCTTTGAAGGCAGAGTTCACTGCTATGAACTTCTTCTTGTCTTTGGGTTAGCAGAACAGGCCGTGAGACTTCAGCTCAGGCTAGGTTTAGTAGACGTGTGTAAAGACTTAACCGTAGTGAATTTCCTCTGTTAGTGCCAGAAGGAGAAAGACCCCACTAGATCGCCCATTGCACAGTGGTTCAAAACTGTCATTTACTGTTCATAATTCTCCGGAGCCATCATTTTTTAATCAATCTGATAAATGTTTTTTTACGAACGCTTTTAAAATTTTCAACAGGCCAGTTAAGCCCGATTTTTCAATTTTTGTTTGACTATAATTAGCTTTTTTTAGTGCAAAATGTAGTAAACGTAGCAATTTTGAAGAAAAATATTACTTTTTTTCGGTGAATAAATGTTACATAAAAATAACTAGTTGCGAAAACAATTATAGAGTTCCCCCAAAAAGGAAAACAATTTGAAATGTTAAAAAAAACTGTCACCATCTTTTTACCCCAATCATTTCAGCCGAGAATACTTGTTGGAATAGTCCATCGCTAGAAACTCACGAAGTGCATTAATTCCCTAAGTATTCATAGTTGTCCCGTTTGGTCCGTATGTATGGCATACTCGTCAATTTTTCTAGATCGAATGTCCAAGCCGTGTTGGTTTTCTCAACGGCTACTGCCTGGGAAATAAAATAAGAGTGACGAGACGCAGAAAATCTTCTATGCGGCTTTCCCAAATAATTTTCTACTTTATTATTTTGAATCCTAATGCTCTTAGAGAAGCTCGGCTGTCTTACTTATCGAGTCGCGCCTAAAACAATCACGTCTAAAAAAATCGAATCGCTGCTTAAAATAAACAGTTGCTGTATCTAAAGCACCTTCATCAGCTTTATCCATCTTCGAGCTGTCGGTATTAATTAGAAATCCTGAAACAGAAGTTCTGAGAGGACATAATTTCGAAAAAAACTGGGAAGGACTACAATAACGCAATTTATTTTTTTGTTTAGAATTGAGTTGAGCCTTGTCACTAAAAACTGTTTGTTTATGTCGTCTCCTTCTAAGGACAGGTCCAAGCATATGCACTTAAATAAGTCCTCAAAACTAAAGTTCGTCTTTTAAAGCGTCATTCGTTTCTGCAATTTCTACCTACGAGTACATACTCATATTTCTAGCAATGCTGCCCAGTTCGTATCGTATTTGACAAATCCGCTCTTTTATCCTAACAAAGCATACTGAATGGCTATGCAATAAATTTCCCTCTTATTTTTCATTTACTACGCAAAGTCGAAATTGCGAGCATCTGCGGGAGCACGTCCTTTCCTTCCGTTGCCTTAGCACTTCGGACAGGTGTGGGAATTGTATAACGACCACAAATAAATGCAGGTTAAGACATCTTTTTCGACGAAGACAACAGATAGTGTTGTAAACTAATGCGCTGCTCAACGAAGTTGGGAATGGCAGAAATGGGGAAAATAAACCCACAATGCTACGCCGTATTAGCCACAACAGCTGGTGGTTGGATAACAAAAAAGGTAGAGGAAAGGTGTGCGCAAACAAAACAATGTGGTAAGCGGGGGCGAAACTTATGTGGTTCTACAGATTCACTTTAACTCAGGACAAGCAGAAGAAGGCGAGGCGTTGAAAAGCGAAAGCGTTAGCGTGAAACAAATGCGATGCCACTTGAGTGACTGATATTTCTGTAATACACCAGTACAAGTATTTTGCAGTTCCTTATACTATTTGCTTATTGTCAGTATTCATGTGTGAGTGAATTTAATCCAGCGTCTTAGCGCCGTTGCGAAGCTGTGAAAATATACATATATGGGCATTCGACCACGTCGGGTTTCGGTCGCATTGCAGGACGTTTTTTTTGACTTTGTCTAATGTACATATTAATTTGAAAAGAAAAAAATGAATAAAAAGTTTTGCAGAATGTAAGGGTCGCCTTTTTACATTTTTCGTCATATTCCAGTGGAATCTTAAAGTGTGAGGAGTGTATCGAGGAAAACATTTTTTTATTCTAAATTTCATTGACCTCAAGTAGCCTGTACTAGCATTTACCCGCCATATATGAATTCGTATCGTTTGTAAAATAATTGAAAGAGAGTGAGCGCGATAGCTTAAAAAATTTTGTTTATTCTAGCACGAAAGTCTTAAAAAAAGCTCCCTTGCCAACTTTTATCCTGAAAAGCTCTCTATATAAAGCACTTGAGCATGTTTAAAAAGGAGATGTATACTATATAATTTTCTTAGCTCTGCTGCAACAATCGCAATGGAAGGGTTTGCAAAACACTGGCCTAACATTCGAGAGATCCGACATCGAATCCTCGGGCAGCGAAATTAATTTTTTGATTAAATCTTTTGTTCTTTTTAACCGATTTCAATAAAGGAGGAGGTTATCAATTCGTCGGAATATTTTTTTGTTTTGTAGTGTCTCGGAGGTGGTCCCTTGATCCGATCATTGGATCATAAAAAAATTAACGGAACTCCTAAATTGTTATATGAGATTTGATGTCGGTTTTGTTTTTTGCTTAAAAATTAATTGCTTTAATTTAACTTTCTTTTAATTGTAAGATTTTATCGATTTAAAGAGAAATTTTGTTTTTCATATTTATTTTATTTATTTTGTAGAAACTTGTTTTATGAATTTTTCCCTTTTTAATTGTTTTGTTTTTCATTTTTAATTAGATTTTCTTTTAACTATTCGATTTTATTGTTTAAACAGAGCAATATTTACTTCATTATTTTCATTTAATTTTTAGAAAATGGTTTATTAATTTTTCTTTTTTAGATTTTTACAAAGTTTTTTTATTTACATATTTTTTAATTAAATTTTTTCTAATTTTAATTTAATTTTTAGACATCTATATTTTCTAATTTTGTTTTAATTTTTTAAATAACAATATATTAATTTTAAAATGAAAAATTTTTTTATGTCATTTAATTTTTAGGAACTCATCTTAATCTTTACATTTTCAATATTTTTTTTTTATAACTTAAATATTTGATTTATACATTTTTCACGCTTTTTTAACTATTATTTTTTCTTTTTTTGATTAATTTATTTTTTTTTTAATTTTTTGTTTTTATTGTTTTAAAAGGAAAAATATATACTTTTAGTTAAATTTAATTTTTGGAAAACTCACTGCTAAAATACAAACAGAAAAACGCTAGACCTTCTCGTTATGTAGCGGATCTTTTAATAAGTCTTTCGAGGGACCGAAAAGAGCTTTCAAGAGAGTTGCCAGAATTGGCGATTGCCATACGAAATACTTTTGACTTTCGAAAGACTGTGATGAGCTGAAAGACAATTACCATAGATACCCCGTAAAGCTCACCAAAAATCATTGAACTTTTGCTAAAGAAGTATCTCGATTATTCCAGTTTAACTATTTGAAAACAATTGTTTGTCACCGAAAAATGTAAAAGGCGGCCCAAGGTTCAGCAAAAAAAAAATACAAATTTTTTTTCGAAATTGCATTGCAAAAATATTTTAGAATCAGGGGTTTGAAAGCGAAACTTTTTTTGTTTGTTGCAAAATGGTATGGTCTAAAATATATATCATTGAGCCAAATTCGTTTTTTCTTCGTTATTTTGAAGTTACAAATATACAACGAATGAGATTAACAGTAGTTACAAAATCGTATATATTATTTCAATACCACCTGCACCTCATACAGGCAATTAGTTATCTTAATTCTGTCGTTGTGATACCACAGTCCAGGTTCATAATGAATTTCATTAGGTCTTTCACATTAGCTGACTTAGCGTCTCTTGAGTACCGCCTCGCGATATCGTGTTATACTATTGCAAGGATTAGGGCATTTATAGAGGACATAGATTGGAAATTTGAGGGATGGTCTTTCTGTATTCCTACCTATCAAGCAATGCCAATTCTCCTTCTCCGCGAAAGCATGTATGTATGCAGCTCGTTCGTTTTTGAAGCCACATTTTTTGAGACGTTGTAGGGCTTCTTCGAGTCCACAATGTGACCCTGGTGGTATAGTTCTAAACCACTGGGTGAAAAGAGGAAAATTTGTATTATGAGATGGAAAGGCGTAATGCCACATAGCTTCCCCTTTAGGTTGCATATCGCTACCCTATCGAAGAGTTTCCATGTATATATCTGTGCGGTACGAAATGAGACTAGTACAGGACCTAAAACTAGGGCACTGCTACCAAAAACTCTTTAAATATGTATATAACTGTTATTTTCCGCCTTAAGCTACTCGTATTAAGCCACGCTATTTGAGCTACTTTAACTTGACACATGGAAAGAATTAAGAAACTCTAAGAACAAAGTAATTTTTTTTTTTTCAATAAACAATTGGTTGAATTCACGTCAAGAATGCGTCTTCGACATTCCAAGGCTCTGAGTACTAAGCACATATGTATGTATGTAAGTGTAACACATGTATTACAGTTAGCCCAAAAAGTCACTTACGAGCACAGTTTGAAGTGAAAAAAATGCCAGTGGTTCCAGTTACGACACCCAAATCAAATTCTAATGACGGTAGTACTGGCTGTGAAAGTTTGAGAGAAAAAGGCTACATAAGCGGCAAAGTTTTAAGAAGATTATAAAATCGCGCTTAGCAGTAGCGTGAGGCATACTAAATATGAAACGAAAAGCAATAAAGTAACAGTAAACGAAAATGCCGCCAAATTGGATTTCAAGCAATGGTTCGCTGCCAGCTATTTGAGGTTGTAAATTGAATCAGTAAATGGGCAAACTTTTGATGTCAAGCCAACTTTTGGCATTCACATTTGTTGTGCGCCATACGAAACGCAAGTGCAGCAGATTATAGCACCGAATGAATAAATTATCTCAAGAAATGTGACACTTGACTGCGGTGTTTTTGGAATTCTTAAATTTGTGTTGTAAAATTGTAAAGCTTCTGGGATTTTAACAGTAAAATGCCATGATTATTGCTGTAGGCACTACTGTTTGGCAGGGACATTTCAAAATTGCAAATAGATATATTAAAAATCGCACTCAACATTTTGCCAAAGTATGAGTATGTAAGAAATTGGGCCAGGGTTGGTTGGCCCAAAAGGCTCCTTACGTACATATTTTAACGGCTGCTTAGATGCTCAGCTCGTCTTAAATCTACATGAATTATTGTGACATGAGCGCAGATCTTCCACCACTTCTCGCTTGACGCTAACATATAGTCTGGTATGCCGATATCCTGTACCATGCTTCGTGACTCAGAGGCGTATCGGGAGCAGGAGAACATTATGTGTTCCGTTATTTTCTCTTATTCCTATGCCGAAATTTATTCAGATACTCACGATAAGAACCGTTGCTCGAGAGAAACTGGCTTAGATGAAAACTACACTCTCAGTGAGACTTATTCAGCCGTGTTTCAATGTCAGAGATGAGCTTGTGGGTCCACCTCCCTTTTCAGAGTCGTCCCATCGTTTCTGCCAGATTACCATAGAACGACACCTTTCTTCTCTGGCTATTGTCTTTCGCGTTAGACCATTGCTGTCCTCAGACAGGTGATTATATATTCTTTTCATCTCTTGTGCGATAATGTCTACTGGGACCAGCGATTACAAAGGATGCTTCGTCAGAAATTGTGCGGAATCCGCAAACAGCTCTCAGTGCACTTAAGCGATACACGGTTGTTGGTTTCTGTGCATAACATTTTACCTTCACTACTTCGTCACAAATCGGAGGTAGGACGTACTTCAGAAGGCCGTTTGGAGAGTTTTTTTTAATACCTCTGTGCACAAGTGTGCGCGGATTTACTAATTAATCGCATTTTGATTGCATTGTCTTCGACTTTTGACTAATTGAGCCACTTATTTAATTGTATTTACAGCATAGATGTTTCACTTAATATTTTAATTTAAACTAAATTACATATTCTTTGCACAGGTACCTCTATGGAAAGTTCTATGGCTCACCAAATATTCGCGATGCAAATCAGGCCAATGGGAGCGTTACAAATGACAAGAAAAATGGAGATGGCGAAAATTCCCAGGAAGAGGTATGTAGTGAATACTCGTCGGCTAAAAGTCTTAATTAAACATTACAAGATATAAAGTACACTTAAATCAATAGGGGCTTACAGTTGTTACATACATTATTACAAAAATATTAGTAGGTGGTTGTGGCTCACCTTAAATTCATTCCTAGCCTAAGTTGTGCAAAATAAAATAAAATAAAATTCACAAATAAGACTGCAAAGTGCGATGAAAATTTAAATTTTCATCAACTTCGCTCACTAATACTTATATGTATATATGTATGTTAGTATGTCTACCATTATACCTGTGTATATATAATTCAAAAGTCAAAAGTCGGGGTGTTTTGGTTTTTGTGTTTTCCACGCCATGTTGGCACTCCCTTCGACTCCAGCATGCTTATTTGATTCTTCTTGTTCCGCCATAATCTGACAGCTGGTTGGAGGCTGAAACTTTAATTAAAACGGAGATAGAAAATGCCACCAAAGTGTGGTGCAGACGTGCACAAGCAAAGCTAGTACTTCCAGTCAGGGTAAGCAACGGACACATTCACACACACACACACACACACACACAGGAAGTGTTTGCAACATGTCTCATACAACTCGCAAATTAAATCTCCGTTTCGGTCTGATTGCAAGTTCGTGAGAGCCGCTGTTGGCAGATCGGCGCTGGCTGCCGCAACCAGACACCATTTCATTGTAAGCATCTGGCGGTTTTACTTGACATTTGCTGTTTGAAAGCTCCCTCGGACGTTCAGCAGCCCACCACCACTCACCTCACTAATTTTTGGCTGTTGTTATTATTGTAGCGGCTTTAACTCACTCCGTTTGTTTACGCTCTTAGTCTTTGATTTTGCTACGACCACATTTTAATTTCTAGCAAATTTGATGGTTACTCCTACTTTTGGAGGGGACAACAGTTAGTTGCCATACTTGCCTTTACTTCACCGCAAACATTCTGTTTACGCTGCAGTTTTCAGGTTTTCATAAGTTTTTCACTGCGGTCTAGATATTTTGCAACAAATTGGCCAGGAACACTGTCACGCACGTAGAAAATATTTAAGGGATGAGTTCTATACATATGTATGCATTTTTATGAGTCTTTCCATAATAATCATACAACATTGAAAATTAGTACAGAAGTACAGCTAAAAGAGTGGATCTGCAGTGTGTTGTAATAAATCCTATGCCTTTTGTTGTCATGCCCACTGAAATTTAAGTTTGTTTGAGATTTCAAAGGTAATATTTCTTTGAAAGAGCTTTTGGCCTGTCTGTTTCCTTTGCATTTTGTCTAGGATGCCGCTTTCCTATACTATACGAACTGGCAAAAGTTGAGCTGCTTTTCTTCGCAGAGCATGCTCGAGTCTAAGTTGAGTGCGGTCAGCTAAACTGTACCACGAAAATTTCACCGAATCACGGATTTTGAAAAAAAATCATTATTTATTTGACACTCTTGCAGATACATTTTCGTACCCCATCATTCATTTCACGTATGTATAATTGTTGTAAATTACTGTCTTTTCAATAATTATATTTTTTTGACAGTAATTTTCTTTAAAAAGGAAAAAATTTTGATCCCTCTAATTTTAAAAGTAATTTCATAGCTGAACATAATTATTTTATCCAGCGAGATCTCCTTCTTAAAAACTTTAAACACCATTTTCATCTATTTCGGTAACTGTTCTCGTTCTCGAGATACATATTAAATTTTGTCTCGAAAAAGTTCATTTTCCAAATTGTGCGGCATTGAAGGATAAGCATTTCGGCTTTTTTGCCCCTTCGCTAAATAGATCAACGCAATTGTCCCGCGTTTTTGGCGGCGACTTCACCATAAGAGGTTGCGGTAGCTGAATGTCGCACAAAGTTTACTTTGGTATAACTCCATTCTGATTTCTTACCGACTGGTTCTGATGTTTTAGACGGTGAGTTTATCGTGAGTGATAGGAATAGGTAATAATTTCAGTACTAGTTGTGAATTCAAAATGTGCGGCAGTTCCTAGCGCAATTCAGCCCTCGTCTTTACTCATCTCCCACGAAAGCATACGATTCCCTGAAACACTTTTCCTCATTCTTAAGAGTGTATTTTCAAGTTATTTATACATATGGAAACAAATCGTTTCGGATTCGTTCCTGTTGGAAAATTATTGAAAATTTTGCAAAATTATTAATTTTTGCCAAATTTTTAATGTGCGACTCACTTTCAGCCAGTGAGTCTGGCAGTTTGTACTTTATAACGTTAAAAGTGAATTTTTAATCTAAATATATCTTAACATCTGTCAAATTTCTGTTGTAACTTTGCCCCATTTTCTCATGCTGGCACCTTGCTGTCGTAACATTCCAATCAATTTGTTCCTAATGTTAATGGCACGGTAAAATGAAAATTGAGTTGTCAAACTACGAAATGATAGTTGGTGGTAAGAAATTCGGTAAGACAGATATGTCTTACCAGTGGAAACTAGAATGTGTAGATTTGGTGTTACGAATGCGAAGTCTTAATTAAATGGATTGTAATGAACGTGAATTTGCCTAACGTGCATTAACGTAGTAACCAATTTCGTATTATATATCACTTTCACATTATAACATTACTCTAAACATTTGTGCATCATTCTTGCAGTTCTACCGTTTAACGGCGAAAACCATGCCATTCATCTTCATCTATTTTCTCTGTACGTTCTAGTCTAACATCGACACAGCGACTTCAATTCCAAAACAACATTTGCCGTCCGTCACCGAGAATGTCACCAACGGAAGCTGCCTCAAAGCAATGACCAACTCGCATTCCGGCGAGTGCAATATCACGAAACCGTCCAGCTATCCAACAAACAACATTTTGTGCAATGGTGTTAGTGGTGCTGCTACAGTTTTCAGTGTCGATGAGAGGGCGTTGCTGTCATCCGAGACTTCGGTTGCAACCCCTTCCTTAACCTCAATAGCATCGCCACTAAATCTAGACAACAACAATAAGTTGAAAATTCAAGCCAATCTGTCCAACAACTCCGTCCAAGAGAACTTTACACGTCCTAATGGTTCTGTCACGAAGATGACTTTGAAAAACAATCACTTGATCGTTGAGACTGAAGAGCGACACGTAAGTGCTCGATGTTGAACATTGAACGTTGAACGTTGAAAGTTATTTGGTGTTGAGTGTTGAGTGTTAAGTGCTCAGTATTGGGCACTTTTAAATGCAGTTGTTGGTGTTGTTGTCGTTGTGCTTGTGTTTAGGTGATGGGCGAAAATAAGGATTTGTGGGGTTTATTTGCCAATTGACAGTCGATTGGCATAGACAAAGGCCCATTTACAGCACCTACACATACACATGCACGCACACTCGCCCACTCGCCCACCTAAATACTTAAACACTCAAACGGTTCAACGTTCGCCTGCTTGTTTAACTTCTTCTTCTAAATACTTCTTCTGCACTTTTTCTTATTTGTTTGCTCTTCTTTGTCGTTAGTTATTGTACTCGTAGTCATTGTTATTCTTACCTTTCTGGGTACTCTATTTGTCGTTGTTGTTTGCTTGCTCTTGTTGTTGTATTTATACATATACATACCTTTATATTCGTACTTGTTCTTGTTCTTGTTCTTGTTGTTGTCGATGTCTTTGCCGTTAATTTCGTTGTTGACATTCAAAGTCCTTTTTGTCGCCTCAAATATTCTCTATCCATCACTGTATCCGGCTATCTGCACGTATGTACATACGTTCATACATATTATCATTCATACGTGTACAAACATGCGAACATTGCTGGTGGAAATGTATTTGGGTGAGGGTAGCCACCCTGCAAAGCACCATATACTCCAACTCTGCATTACATCGTAGTAGCACAAAAGTACTCCAAAGGATTACTCCATGAAACACCTACCTCTCGGCAACACAGCCTAATAAACATCGTGTATGGATTACGATCAAGGCATATTCAACAAGGTAGAAGTGACAATTCAGTCGAGCTCTCTCATACCTGACTGTAATGTCAAAAAAATGTAAACAAAGAAATTAACCCTTTGTTATGCATTTACCATATTTGATAGAACTCAACATCTTTGAAATGAAAGTTTTTGTAAATATGAAAATATTTAAAATCTCGTTAGAATCAGCTTCATTTAATTTAATGAATTTTCGGTTTAATGTAAATGTGGAAATGCATTCTTACACAAAATTACACACTAAATGAAACACACTCATTTATAAAACCGTTTTGACAATTTTCTTGCTTTTACTATCCCAATGTTTTTGAGCATTTATTTTTTTATTCAAATACTTAATTCTAAAGAATATTAAAAAAAGTTTGATTCTTCTAAATTTACATCAGAACTTAACTTCAATAATTTAGATATTAAATTTTTGCTATTCGAAATTTCCTTTCCATTAAATTTATTAAAAATTACTTTCAGTTTCTTTATGTCAACAAGGAATACTGATTTAGGTTTTATCAGACCAATCTTTGAAATTTAGCCTTTCTATGTATGTATATGAAAGGGAAATTGTCTTTTCATATTCAGTATGATAAATCCTGCACCTGGGACCAAACGCGTCCACTTAGAAATACTCGGCTGCGATAGGCAACAAATAAAGTCACGACCACACGTGAAGAGTCACCTAATGAAACATCGCAGCAATTTGCCCACCGTTGTCGATTCCCTTGACATTTCGAAGGTTTAAAATAACGCACAACTTTGTTGTCCAGGCTCTTGACAAACACAACGCACCGCTCGCAATTCCTTTTCATTTTATTATGTATTTAAAATCAGTCGCACAGCTCATAATTGAAAATGTATATAAAGAAAAAATTTTGAATTGTATAGGGTTAAGAATTGACATTTCTGTCGCAGTTCAAAAGAGAGAAATGTCGAATCACTTCTACCTTGTTATACCTTGATTACGATCGCGAAAACACGAGCATTGGTCGGGTAGAGAGTTGGTCCGCTACTGCCTTACAGAGGAGAACTTAGTAAGTACTCCAATATGGCACAAATAGACCACATAGTCTAACGATTTTTGGAGGGCAGTGCCTTACATGTTTATTATTTCTTGAAGCTAAATTTTAATACATACTTGTTAGTGTGCTGCCAATACATACATGTAAATATTCTGTATCCTGTGCCACCACCTTCTTGTGTGTACTTGTTCCATACTCACATTCAAAGTTAATCTATACTCTTTTGAATATATATAAATACCTATGTATTTAAATGTTTAGCGAGTTTATCCGTGGAGAATTAAAACAACACAGGGATAACGAGGTCACACAACTACATCTTTTGACAGCCTGGGTATTAGGAAACAATAGCGAGAGCAAAGTATTCATTGGAAGGGTTTGACAGAATACGGATTGAAAAAGTTTGAAATAGAAACCCTGCCGAAGATATACCTACATATGTACGTACGTAGATAGCTATATATATGTAGAAAAAAGTAAACGAAAATTATCAAACTAAGTATGCATAGTTTTTTTATATTTTCATTATTATTAGTATTAAATACCTACTTGAATTGAATTTCAATTTCAAACAAATGTTCGCCGTTCCTAAAAGCAGCCAATATCGATTTGTTTTAATACACTCCGTTGCATAATTATAAATCCAGTACAAACGTCTTTGAAACAACCGTCACAAGCAAGTTAGGGCAAAACTTTCTCTTGTAACTATTGCTTGGTAAAAGCTCTCTTCAAATAGAGTGTTACGTTTTTATATAGTCATAACTTAATTTAGAGGAAATGAAAAAATCTAAAAATAACTTGTTGCAAAACTATGAATCCAAAAATGAAATCCCAATAAAAAGAGTAGAACATGCAAATGTGTCTTTCTAATACTAAAGCTGTGGTCCATTGAATTTAACTAATTGAAATATGAGCCCACCATACTTAAATACAATGTCTTCATTAAAGCAGCATCCAATTTATGCCAATTGGCGATTATCAGCATAAACTGTCCTTGCTAGTACTTCCCCCACATTTTTCGTTGGGATGAGGTCAGGAGAGCGCAAGCGTCCAAACATTGTTGGTTTCCAACCAGCATTTTTTCTCCCCAGCAGCATGAATTGCAGCTTTGTCCTGTTGAAAAATCCAATATCTTTCATTGCGCTCAATAAATGGCTTGAAAATGCTCAGCTGAATGTCAACATAGTCTCAACTCTTCATTTTGTTTGAGTAGAAGGGCACCTCAAGAGTACAATGGGATGTTATTGCACCGCACGCCATCACATTTCTGCAACCGCTTTAAAAAGTAAAACGAAATATTTGTCAATATTATTGTGGTGTATTAATATGTATGTATTTCAATATTGTTATTGTCCCTATTAATTGTGGTACAAAGCTCAATAAAAATATTCAAATAAAATTAAACAGTTTTTTTTTTAAGAGTAGCACATTTCGCTGCTTTTGAACTGATGGGTATTTAATTAGATACTATTGGACTGGCTCGTTTTTGGCCACAAAGATCTAGGAAGGAACTATAAATTTGGTTCACTAGTTCGGTGTTTTCCCGCAAGGTATGCAGAAACCAGGGATGTAATAAAATATGTTTAAAAGACTTTATCCAGGATGTTTGAAATGATGAAAAGGAAAATTTGTAAGCGACTATGCGCCCTTCACTTTTTTCTGTTATTTAAAAACATCCGACATTTCATGGCCATGAAAGGCATAAAAACTCCTCCGCACTATACCCGAAAATTTAAAGCGGGCCAATCGTTGTGGACATAGGACTTTTCTGTAAAAATTTGTAGCGGCTTCTAAAGGAACTTGCGTTTTTATAATTTTTTCCAACGTGGTCATAATAAGATTCTATATTCATATATGCATCAGCTTATTATTAAAGTTTTAAAACTGCATTTTGTCAACCAAAAATGGTAAATTGATTGACTATATTAAGCGTTTGGCCGATCCTCTTCCCCTGTTTGTGGTGTATAAGTTCCCGCATTTTCGATTATCTTTTTTTTCCGATCGTAGCGGTCGCCATTTGTAATTTCCCGTCATATCTTTGGCATTTACAGTCGGATCTTAAAGTATGATACATCGAAGCTTTTTTGTCCCAATGAGAAAATTTTTTGGCTCCCAAAGTTCTCCGAAAATCATTAAACTTTTGCAAAGGAAGTATTTTGATTATTCCAGTAGAACAATTTAAAAGCAATGTTATTGACGAATGAAGGCGTCACCGAATTTTTTTCCCCGAAATTGCCTTGCAAAATTCTTGATACTCAAGGATGCACGGCCAACTTTTTTTGTTTGCTTGTAAGGTGTTATGGTCTAATGAACATTCACACGTGAAAATTTCTTATTATTCATCTTGTAACTGCCAATTTGTTTATGTACATAACTTCTTCTGTCTGCAAACACTTTAGTTGTATATTTTGTGATTGCATGTACATATTTGCATTGTGACTCCCTAAAACGAATTATGCGATTTACATAAAATAATCCCTTCTTTTATTTTCTTCTTCAACTTCTAGGATATATCGCGCGTCGCTCGTGAAACTACAATGCATTACAATACCTCCGATAAGGATGGCGTATTTGTTGTAGAAGTTGCGCGCGGCGTCGACTCCAAAAGCATTCCAAACAGCCCAACCACCGAAGAACTACGTCCCATCTATGAAACACCACCACCAGCTGCAGCTGCGGCCGCGACCTCTTTTCGATCAGACGATGAAAAGATTTTGAGAAATCACGATGAGATACAAATCCACCAACCACCAGCAGAAACTCTGCACCATCAACTACCGAGCTACGCAGAAGAAATGCCCGAACGCAGTTTACATCAAATCGTCGAATTAGAAGAACCCGCTATTTCACCACATTCGTTTAGAGATGAGAAGAAAGTCAACCTCGTACGCAATTCCAATACCGGTCTTTCGCAGTCCGATTTAAGTTCCACATCTTCGGCTGGTTCAAACAAGAGATACTCGTATGGCAATCAGGAGTTGTACACCATAGAGACGACGTCATATGCCTCGCCATCGACATCCGCAAACTTGCCGCTTTTACCTTCGAATTCACACAACGCCGCCGACGATGATGATCGCCGATCGGAGAATGGACACAGTCTTGAGCATTCACCTGCTACTCAGGGCAATAGTTCAACAGCCACAGCCAACGACAGCGCCGCTCACAATGAGCTGTGCAAGCATGAGCAAGGAAATGAGCAGATAATAAAGGAGAAGGATATAAATTCCTCTCAGCAGAGTGAGAGCGACCCTCAGCAAGGAAACGTTGCGACAGAAATTGAATTGTTCAATGAAGAGGTGTCGACAAAGCAAGAATGTGAGGTGGCTATTATAAATGAAGTTAAGGAAACAGAAAATGTCCAGACAAATGTTGTGACTGAGAAAGAGCCTCAAGATGTAGAAACAAAAGACCCAGTAGAAACTGTACAAAATGAAATAGAAAGTGTTTTCGCAAATGTGCAGATAAGCACAGAGAGTGTAGAGCATATTGACAACAATAATTCACCAGAATGTGTGGACAAGAAGCCAGAGTTGCCAGTCCCCAATGGCACTGACGACAACAAGGAATGTGTAGAAGAGTTGTCTGACCACAGTGATGCTGTCGATACCACTGTACTGCACATCTCCAGCCTTACAGAACAGCAGATAATTTCTGAAGATAATCTCATAAGTGGGGACAATGAAAGTCCACCCACGTTCCCACAAACTATAGTTGGCAATTATGGCTACGATAGCATCATTAGCCTACCAGATCCACCATCCACAGAGGAAATAAAACAACTTGGTGACTTTGCTGGTATTGAGAGCAGTCAATTAGACTCGCTTCCACCTCCATCACCTCCACCACCACCTATTTTGACCGACTTAAATGACAACAACACGAATAGTATGGAAGAGAAAACACCCACCACTAACGCATCGACCACCGAAGCAGAGTCCACAACGACACAATTAAAGTTGAAGGAGCTATTACACAACAATCTTGCAGATTCGACTGCAACTAACCAACTCACAAATGGAAATGGAAATGGTCATGACGCCACAAATGGAAATATAGCAGAGAATGCCACAGCAGAATTCGATTTAAATGGCTACGAATTGCACAATGGACATGCAGCTGCTGAGCAGTTGTTGGCAGAACATTTAGAGCTCAGTCCAGTTGCAGCCCACAACGCCGAAGGTGGCGCGCCCACTGGTAGGGTGCCTCAAACTCCACTTACACCACCAGAATCGCCACCGCTCTCCTCACCCGTGCACTACACCAACAGCGTGGGTGCCATTAACGGAATGAATGGGGTCAACAGAGGCATTTGCGGCGGTCCGATGCCCGTTGCCGTGGACGTAAATGGCAGTTAATATGAATGCTGAGCAGCAGTTATTTTATGCAGGCCATGAGCTGAGAGACTCTTCAGTTCAGTGATAATTGGCTTGCGCAAGTGAAATGAAGGTGTAGAAAATCTAACGGTTATGTCGAATTTCTCCAGCAATGCAACGAATGAACCAACCGCGAACCATTGACGTTAGACTGTAGTGGCGTCGGCGGCGATGACGGCGGCAAGATGTGGACGTGGAAAGTAGGTATGCAATAGAATGAAGTAGAATATTTAGAAAGTAAATGAAAAACGCGTATTTGTATATTAGGGTGTAAGTTTTTACGATACTTAGTCGAAATCAGTGGTCTACTTTGTAAACGATAATAATCCGAAAAAATTACATGCAAGAATCCGAATGGAAGAAAAAGTCAAATAAAAAAACAAAAACAGGCAAAAGTTGCACTTACAAAAGTGCATAGCTACAAAGTGAAAGGGTCAAAGGAGAAATAGCAGTACTACTTACAAAAGGGGAAATACTTTGCAGTATTAAGAAATATAAATCTAGTGAGCGCAGGATATTGTTCTAATTGTGCTATAAAATATAGAAACATTTTGCCGAGAAAAGGATCTTAGTAGTCTCATGTCCAGGGCATTCAATTCTGTATTTGAATATTTTATTTAAAAAGCGAGCAATGGCAGCGAAATAAAAGGTATGCAAGTCAGATTTTTTACAGAAGGAATTTCACGGCGATTTAGTTGATCCATTCAGACAGCTAGTCATATTGGTAACCAATAATTATTCCGATCTTTTTTTAATTAGTACTTGATTTTGAGCACTTTTTCATAAAAAAGCGTGGTATTGATGAAACACAACTCTTTTTTCTATTGATAATTGCCGACAATACCCGTCCTCAAAAACACAACACAACCTAAGTGGAAGATCGAACTAAGTTGGCAGCCAGTTAGAAAAAGCCCTATCTGGGAAAACTTTTTAAGAACGCCCTACTTCCGAATTTGGTTGAAGAAAATGAAAAATTTATTGAAAATGTTCTGAGATAAGGCGTTTTTGACCCGAATTCTGAGATAGGGCGTTCTTAAATAAAATTCTGAGATAGGGTATTCTTCAACCAAATTTTGAAATAGGGCGTTCTTGAAAAGTTTTTTTGGATAAGGCGTTCTCGAAGTGGCTGCAGAGATAGGCCGATATTCCACTCAGGTGTCGATATACTTCCTTTTATGAAGTTCCGATTTTGAAATAGTTTGAGGCAAAAAATCAAATCGGGACCAATACAGCTTGATTTCCGTATTATTGTAAACAATCCGAAAAATCTTTTTCTTCATATTTCACCGGGATTTCGCAGATATTTATACGCTGCGTCAATTGAACTTCTTTGAGTTCATGTGGATCCAAATATCGAACTTTTTGCTTCTTTAGGCGGAAGGGAAGAATATTTTAACTGACTTCCAAACTTGTGATAAGACTTGGTCCATGCCTTTATATTTTCGTCATCAGCCGCCAACCTTACCTTCTGATCTAGTAGCATCTTTAATCTTAAAAATTACGAGCGTAAAAACCAGTTTTCGCTCTAGCGTTATTTCCACGAGCTTGATGCGCATTCTTTCATTTCGGCAGTAAAAAAGTAAATATGGCGAAAATTCACAATTTGGTCTGTCATCTTAAACTCATAAAAAGTTGATGAAAACTCATCTAAATCGCTTGTCTTGAGAATGAATCTTGAACGATCGGCTGTTAAATGGCATTCGACAAACATCTTCATGTAGCAAATCCAGACATAGGAGAACATAGAGAGAAGACGACTTAGAAAGTTAGAACACTTGAGTGAGGTATCCCCATACTCTCTTGCATTGAATTCAGCTTGATAACTTTTTTGTTGCATTTACACACACGTTTTATGGTGATCAGCGTATCACCTCTGAAAAACGATTGAGAAACTATTTTCGGTAAACATTCAATGGCTAGTTGGATTCATTTAAGTTTTTGAGATACGAGTATACCTTCAAACTCTTTAATTTTTTTGCCAAATATTCCTTAAGATACATAAATAAATCCCTAACTAGTAATATATATTAGAAAGACCGCAATCGGAATAGCAATAGATTGCTAGCCAAGCTTAGTGGCAGATATTTACCATTAGTTACTGAGATGAAAAGTAAAATCGTTATGTATTAGCAATTCAAAGGATATGACCTGCATTCAAATATATAGAAAGAAGCAGTATGCGCCAATATACTTTCATACATACACTCATAAAAATACTCGAATATTAAAGAATCGGTCATAAGAATTATAAGCTCTTCGCAAAGTAAAGGATCGCATGATGAATAATAGATACAATTCATACATGCATATATACATACATACATACATACATGTAAGTACCCAGAAATTCTTACCTAGGCGCTTAGACAGAACATTTTACAACAAAAGAGCCTTGGAGAACTTTCTGCTGCAACACAAATTCATACACTATCCCAGCATACTTACCACATTTAATTAGCATTGTAGAATTCCAAGCAGTTTTCCATATATTGCGCTTAGGGATTTCGTAAATCGCATTTAATATTGTAGAGCGAAATAGTGGACACATTTATTAGACGTCTAGTGAATAGAACAAACAAAAAAACACAACCTAATGAATTCTTTAAAATGAAACCGTTCATGCGTTGAACGTTAGTACCACAAAATGTAGCTAAATTTTGTCAGTAATTTATTGAATCCAAATTTTAAATTTGTCAAAATAACTGTTGAAGTCCAAAAAGTATTTATAAGTTTGATTGAGAAAGCATTTTGGGCTTTCACATGTCGCAAAGGTTGAGTGTAAGTTGATGTGCTGAGCTTTCACACTTGTAGAAGCTTAAGAGCGCTTTTAGTGCTGTAATGAGCCACCGATGTGGAAGCAACTTTGACTTACCGCTAACTATTTAGTATGTATTTCAACCCAACCACACACACACACACACACACACACTAACGAAGACACACCTTGATATACTTGAATAACACTCAATTTAAATGTCTATTCTATTAAACTATTACTTTAACTGATAGAATGTAAAAAAGAAAATAGATTAAATTTAAACAAATATTTCGAAAAAAGCCAATACATACATACTTCAATTAGGAGATATATTAAAAGCAAATAAAGCAACACACAAAATGAACAAATCAGTATACATACAAAAAAAAGACGAGGCAAAAGAATGAAAATGTGCCGATTTTTACAAACATTTTACAATAAAGTTTACACTTAGCGAAAATTTTACTTGCGAACAGAAAAGAGTAAGTAAAAAAGTAAAAATTGTTGCTGCTTTTATTGGAAAAGGGCATAAGTAAAAAATTGCAATTAGCGCAGCGTGAAAAGAGCCAATGACAGGAGAAAAAAAAGCCAGAAAGAAAAAGTAAAACAGAGCAAATAGATATGTATTTGTTAGCTATAAAACCTTTGCAGATAGAAAAGAGCAATCGTCAGCGATATGACACAGAATGTTCACACTAGAATCGAGGCCCGAAAAGCAGTGCGAACGTTGCTGCATAATTACGCGTTTATTAAGCTCCACACATATTTACATACATACATATGAATGTATCTACGTGTGTGTCCAGCTGAAAAAAAAAATTATGAAAATAAATTAAATATGTATATGAAAGACAAAGCAAGTGTTTATTACGTACACATACATATGTAAATTTTTAAATTTTAACAATAAGTAGTTATTAATTCATAACGGAGATAATTGCAATGACGAAACAGATGATTTTGATGGCGATAATGAGTTCGCAGAAAACAAATATTAAACAACTAATAAACAAACAAACAAAAAATAATACGCAAAAAAAAACAATGTATTAAATGCCAAATTGCGATATGTAAGCAACCAAACAAAAAAAAAATAAGGGTTAATTTTGTGAATGGAAAATCAAATTAACCAAAAAAAATATTTGGAAAATGTAAATGTGATTGTTATTTAAACTTGAAACAAATTATTATTATTAATAATAATTATGGTAAATAAAAGTGGAAATAAATTAATTAAAGATCAAAAAAAAAAATCTACGTGTTTTTTTCTACCGTACGGAAAGTGGTTTGATTGATTAAGTGATTATAGAAAATTGATGTTTGCAAGTGTTTGTACGAGCGCCAAGCAATGAAAGTAGGATTTTTTTTATCATTGAAATTGATTTAATTGTTTTTTCGAAATTGATTGCCTTTTTGCTGCAGGCTCTTATGTTTATATGGCATGTTTGGCTCAGCGGTAGTGTGCTGGTTATATTCTTATTGAGTCACGTCACTTCAACTGAATATATGTAATAATGGTGCTGAGCTTCTCCTCCAATTTGTGGTGTGCGCCCTGAGTTTATAACACAAATGGAGAGTTCTACAATTTTACGCCGCTTCCGAAGAGTAAATGGGTATATGAAGTACACTGGGAGGGTTTGAACCCTGCACCTACCTACCGAGTGGTAATCCGACCCTTCAACCACTCTTCTTCTTCTTATTTGGCTCAGTAACCGCCTAAGAGATTTTGGCCGAGTTCAACAAAGCACGCCAGTCGTTTCTCTTCTGCACCAACTGACGTTAATTGCAAATGGCCAGCGAAGTCAAGTCCTTCTCCACTTGATCTTTCCATCGCAGTGGGGCCTCCCTCTTTCTCTACTACCACCGAATTGAATACTTTCAGAGCTGGAGTCGAAGTCCATTCGAACGACATGGCCAAGCCAGAGGGGCCGCTGTATTTTAATTCGCTACGGTATGTCTATATCGTTTTAAAGCTCACGCAGCTCATCATTCCATCGTCAGCGGTACTCGCCGTCGCCAACGCGTAAAGGCCCGTAAGTCTTCCGCAAAATCTTTCTCTCGAATACTCCAAGAGCCACCTCATCGGATGTTGTCATTGTCTAAGCTTCTGAGTTCAAAACAGCACTTATTGGCAAGAGTGATTCTGCGTTGGATTTCGATGCTGACATTTTTATCGATGTTAATGCTGGTTCCCAAGTAAACGAAATTCTCCACTTTATAACTATGTTCTCGTCCCATTCGCTTTACTTCTTTATCCAGCTTGGAAAAGGCAGA